AGGGCAGCAGGGTTGGACAGAGGGAGGAGCTGGGCTACAATACAGTCACAAGAAAATCCTCAGCTTTTAGGGGGCTCTAGAGCTGGGATGGCCATTCAGATAGTCTCCAAATCGGAGAAGGTGGGGCCTTTATAAACCACCCCCCCACCAATGACCAAGTATTGGGTGTACTGGAAAGTATGCTTTGGGGCTAGCTAGCAAGCTCTCTTCAAGTAAGGGCAAGGCCCAAAAGGAGACTCAGATATTATAGATCCATCAGCCGCAAGCATTTCCTGCAACTGGGCTGATGAATACCTCAGTTCTGAAATGGGGATCTTGGAAGCATATCACAGCATCCGCTAGACTGCTGGCATCCTAGATGATACTCCCAGGACTTCTTGTCTCCCCTACTACAGGCATTGCTACATAGTCTCACTGCCCCCAACCTCTTTTTTCCAATACACCCTTGCCCTGTCACCCAGACTAATTTTTCACAAACAAATATGTTCAAGATTTAACTTATTTCACAGCATGTACAAATCCATTTGGAAATGGGAGGAGTAATAGATATAGATGACATAGATATAGATGATATAGATATAGATGATATAGATAGATATAGAGATAGAGAGAGATAGAGATAGAGATAGAGATAGAGATAGAGATAGACATAGAGATGATATAGATATAGATAGACTGAGTGGGCAGATTATTATGACTTCATTTTTTTAATATATTTTATTGATTTTTTACAGAGAGGAGAAGAGAGGGATAGAGAGCTAGAAATGTCGATGAGAGAAAAACATTGACCAGCTGCCTCTTGCACATCCCCCACTGGGGATGTGCCCGCAACCAATGTACATGCCCTTGACCGGAATCGAACCTGGGACCCTTCAGTCCGCAGACCGATGTTCTACCACTGAGCCAAACTGGCTTCGGCTATTATGACTTCTGAAAGTATGTACACTGAGTGGCCAGATTATTATGCGTTCAGAGATCTTAATAATCTGGCCACTCAGTGTATATCATATCTATAGGGAGAGGAGAGAGAGAGAGAGAGAGAGAGAGAGAGAGAGAGAGAGAGAGAGAGAGAGAGAGAGAGAGAGAGAATATATATATATATATATATATATATATATATATATATATATATATATATATATTAGAGACCTGGTGCATAAATTCATGCATGGGTGGGGTCCAGCCAGCCTGACCAGGGGGAGAGGACATGGGTGGTTGGCTGGCCTGCCTGCTGGTTGAACTCCTGGTCGAGGGGACAATTTGCATATTAACCTTTTATTATATAGGATATACACTTAGTGGCCAGATTATTATGCATTCAGATATTATAATAATCTGGCCATTCAGTGTATATTTTCACATATATGCACAGAAAAGTATCTCTGGGAGAATCTATAGAGACAAAAAGTAGATTAGTAGTAGTCAGAGATTGGCAGGTAACTGCTAATGGATATGGGGATTTCTTTTTGAGGTAATGAAAATGTGGAATTGGACAGTGGTGATGGTTGCAAAACCTTGTGAATATACTAAAACTCAATTAATTGTATGCTTTAAAATGGCGAGTTTCATGGTATGAGAATTATATTGATTTTTTAAATATCTTAGAGTTGACATATGAAAGTGATAGCAGTGATTATATCGGGTTTCTGTTCTCTGTGTTGAATTTGCTTTTTTTATTTTTCTGTAAGTGAACACATTTTTTAATATTAATTTAAGAAAGATAACAATTCTACCTTCAAAATGACTCTTCTGCTTTACCACCTTTGAAACTTCATCCCTACAAGTAAAATAAAGGCCAAACTCCTTGAAAAATAGCCCAGGCCCTCTCTGAGCAGGCCTCAGCTGCTTTGACAGATTATATTTGTCACCCTCCCCCCATGACTGTCCACCCCTTACTTCAGGCACTTCAGGTTTCTCCATTTCATGAATGTGCCCTGGACTTTCTGCCTCAGAGGCCTTGTTCCCTACCACTCAGATACATGCCCTTCTTTATCTCCTCTCCCACCCAGCCCTACCTGCAGAAATTTTTCCAGGGCCAGATCAAATATCACTTTCCCAAAGCTGTAATTAAAACATCTCTCGCTAGTTCTGCTAACACTTTGTTTGGAATTTGTTTTTATAGCATTTATTACTTGCTGCCATTTTATATAATCAGTTCTGTGTTTCTCATTAGGAAAGTTCACCTTTGATTCCTCTACTGTATACAACACATGGAATAGTCAGTAAAACTTGATCTTTGAATTTAAAATATTTTAAATGAAAATTTACATTTACTCACTTGCTCAGTATGGGTTGATATCAGATAGCATGATACGGCCAACATTTTTAAAAAATATTTTTATTGATTTCAGGGAGAAAGGGAGAGGGAGAGATAGAAACATCAATGATGAGAGAGAATCATTGATTGAGTGCCTCCTGCATACCACACACTGGGGATCAAGCTTGCAACCTAGGCATATGTCCTGACCTCCTGGTTCATAGGTTAAGGATCTACCATTGAGCCATGCCAGCCAGGCAATACCTCCACCTTTGTTCTATCTGCAGATTACTGTGGCTATTCCGGGTCATTTGTGATTCCATATAAATGTTTGGACTATTTGTTCTAGTTTTGTGAGATATGCCATTGGCATTTTGATAGGAATTGCATTGAATCTGTAGATTGCTTTGGGTAGTATGGACATTTTAATGGTGTTAATTTTTCCTATCCATAAACACAGCATATGCTTCCACTTATTTGTATCTTCTTTAATAACTTCCTTTGGTGTCTTATAATTTTATGAGTATAGGTCTTTTACCTTCTTGGTTAAATTTATTTCTAGGTATTTTATTTTTTTAATCAATTGTAAATAGGATTGTTTTCTTAGTTTCCCTTTCTGATAGTTCATTATCTGTGTATAAAAATGCAGCAGGTTGAGTGTATTTTCCCCTCCCTTTTCAGCTCAAAGTTTATGTCATAAAACATACAACTAAATAGAAGCAGCAGTGCTTTTTTGGTTTGAATTATTAGATATTGCTTCAGGTCCCCTTTCCTGTATATATAGACATCAAAGAAAGAATTATGGAGCGTGTGATTTCAGTCATAAATATCCCAACAGACTCTCAAAACAGGATTGTCAGTAACCAACTGAAAATTGATCTTGGACAGAAATTAGATGAAATCACCCACAATCTTAGAGTTTATTTTATTTTATTTTGTATTAGAGAGAGAAGGATGCTCTTTCTACATCTGAAGTCTTTCCTGGAAGAGTGGCAATGCAAGAGATGTGTAAATTGTGAGTCATTAATGAAAAGGAACAGAGGAGCTGCCACTATTACCACGGTTGCCATGGCCATATCATATTAAATCAGGATAGAGGAGGTTACTGCATCAGCTTTTCAAACAGGGTGTCTCCTCATGAGACATCTCTGCCAGTGACATCAGCAGGAGGACCAAGTACAGCGTGTCCACTGGAGAGAACGTACAAAATATTCAAGATGATGGTGGTTCTGTAAATCAAATAGCTCTGCTGTGCCCCACTCAATGCTATTTCTGTCCTGGGTGAAATGTGTGTGTTCTGAATTTGATTACTATCCTTCACGTCATTCACTCACACTGCAGTGTATGGATTCAGTGAGGAATTCCAATTAGGACCTGAAAATCCACTGCAGTGCAATTGAAGCATAATGCTTTCAAACAGATACAAAGCTATGGAGAGGAAGAGGGATGTGACAGCAACTCATTCCTAATTTTCTGTTTAGGGCACCACGCAAAATGGTGATTCAGAAGCCAGGTTTCTGAGAGAGTGCCAGATTGGAGTTCAGGCTCTGCCATTGCTCACTACAGGACTTCAGGTAAGTCTCTTATCCTCTTTAAGATTCGGTTTCTTTACCTGCAAAATGGGACTACTGTTGAAACAACCTCAAAGGTTTAACAGAGGGCGGGAGGCAATTCCTTTGTAAAACACTTTGCAAGATGCCTGGCACAAAGTAAGTGCTCAATAAATGTAAGCTGTATACATTGTTAAACTAGAGGGGACTTAGGAAGTCATCCAATCTCCTCAATCCAAGCTCCTCATTCAGAAAATGAAAACTAGAGCCACAGAGTAGCCGAAGTTGTCACAGCTAGTGAGATATTCAGGGCTGATTGCTGTGCCTTTACAATATCCTCCTCTAACTTACCCTCTTTCATAAAGTGGAGCTTCGGTAAATAGTTGGGGGGGGGGCGGGGGGCGGGCTCCGGTTAGCCACATCTCAGGCACAGGAAACTCTGAATGGTATGGGATTTTCTAATGTGGCACTCACTGCCTGCTCACTTAAATCTGCTGCAAGTGTCTCTGGGAAATAAAATATTGGCAGGTTCGTCCAACAGCTGCTCAGGCTAGAGACCACAGGCTTATTTTGGTCCATTTATGTTAACTCATCTGTCTTAAGCTCTTTGTTAGTGACTCACCACATACTGCTACCAAAAATATACACCAAAATCCAAGAATCATTCACATGAAGGGCAAACCTCTTCCTTAAAATACCACATTTCTGCCGTCTTGTTTTTATGAAGTTTTTGCTTCCTCCTGCCTCCACATCACATTTTCTCCTCTCCTTCCTTCCTTCTTTATCTCTGATGGCCTGCAGTGGCATGGAAGCCGCATGGAAAGGCCAAGAGATTTCTAAAATGAACATCAGAAGACCTGGTTCTGGTAATTCTTTAGTTCTAAGAACCTAGCAAGTCACAACTGGTATGTGACTCAGTTTCTTTATCTGTGATATGGGAAGGTGGTATTGGCCCTATAGTTCTCATCAGCTCGAGTATTAAGAACTTCCTCATTACTTTTTTTTTTTCAAGGATGCCATGCTTTGAAGGATTTTCATCTGCCATGTAAACTGCCTTTTAAAATAAAATAAATATTTCTATTAACTGTAGGTATGATCAACCTAATTAATATTAATATTAATAAACAACAATAAATATAAAATTAAAAATATTTTAAGGATCAAGTTGACTTACTTACTAAGATGATGCTGTTCTAATTTGACCCCTTCCACCTCTCTTTTGGTTTTTTCTTCTCTTCCTCTTCTCCTGCTGGTCCTTGACCTTCACTAATTCCAGCTTCTTGTTTGGGTGAATTTTCTACTGTAAGTTTTGCAAACTCATTTGGAAAATTCTTCTCTAACCACTGTCTACATTTAGCAACATCAGGCATATATTCACAGTACTCTGTTGGTAATGAACACACTCCACAGTAAAGGACCCGGAGTGGGTAATCTGCATCTAACTTGATATTGCTCCTGGAGTCTCCTTTGCAATCATGCCCCCCCCCCCCCCCGGATTCAGAAATGTCAGCAGCCATCTCACAAACCCGGGCGGTCGTACCGCCGCCAACGCCTCTGCTCCCGCCACTACCGCCTTCTGAACCGACACATGCGACTCCTCTTCCCAGGCCTGGGCCACCTGAGAGCCAGTCTGCCCAGATGTTGCTATTTTAAATATTCTGCCCAGGATTCTCAGAGGAAAATATGCCATCTTTGTTAGACTTGGTGAAATATTAAAAATGGTTCATATACTATGTCATGTATCTAAGAATAGACAGACAAAGGAAGGTACACACAAACTTCAAGATGATGCTAATTTCCAGGGAGGAGGAAGAGGAAAGAGATGGGAATAGAGTCTTCAAGTACATCTGTACTACTTCATTTATTAAGATCTTAAGCAAACACAGGGAATTGTTAATGTGTTAAATATGAGTGATAGAATAAAGGCTGTCTGTTATTAATATAATTCTTTATTTTATGTTTGAAACATTTCAAAATTAAATATGTTGAATTAAAAATAATATCATCAACTGAAACTCTTATGTATTACTGGTGGCAGTGTGAAATTATATAACCATCTTGAAATCTACACCTTCCATATAACCCAGCAATCTCCCTCCTAGGTATAGACCTAAGATAAATGAATACACATATTCACAAAAAGACATGTGCAAGAATGTTTATAAAAGCTTTATTCATAATAGCCAAAAATAGGAAGCAGCCCAATGCCTATCAAGAAGTAAACAAGTAAATAAATGGTGGTATAGGCATACAATGGAATACTTAACAATAAAAAGGAGATAATTACTTTTATCCCATTGTATGGATAAATCTCAAAAATCCCATTGTATGGATAAATCTCAAAAGAAACCAGATAAAAAGAATACATACTATGGGGGGTAATAGGAGGATAAGGACACATATGTAATATTTTAATCAATAAAGAAATTTTTAAAAAGATTATATACTGCATGCTTCTATTTACATGAAATAATAAATCAGGCAAAAATGAATCCATAGTGATAGAAATCAGAACAGTTATCTGTCAGAAATTAAGTAGTTGCCTATTGTGGGAGGAGATTGCCAGAAAAGAGATACAGAGAAAATTCTGGAATGAGTGTCATATCTGGAAGAAATACCTTCATTGGAGTAGTGACTACATGAGTGTTTGTACTTGCAACACCAAACTCTTAAAATTGTATATATAAGATCTGTGTATTTTGCTATACATACATTTTACCTAAAGTAAAAGAAAAATATCTGAAAACTTTAAACTCACATATTATCCTCATATAAACTCACATGGACTCCCAGGAGCTCTAGGGATTTGAGGGCAAGAATCAGCTCTGGATTAAGGATCTCTGCATTCATTTTCGTCTATGCACAGTATAGGATTTTACTTTATTTATTGTTCTTCGCCTGTGTTACAAAAGAAGTCGCTCTTTGAGCATATCTTTCCAAGGCAATGTGTTGTAGTTAGAAAGAACACGGGCTTTAGAATTAGCTGGAGCCCTAGATTTGAGCCTCTGCTCTGAGGCTCACTAGCTATATGACTCTAGACAAGGCAGTGACCTCCCTGGGTTATTTTTTTTTTTTTTACCTGTCTGCAGGAGAGTATGAAACCTACTTCCCAGGATTATTTGGAAGATTAAATTACATCACACGAGCAAAAGCATATTGCACACAGCCAGGCTTGGCACAGATGCTCCATACATTCTGATTTCCTTTTCTTCCTTCCATTACTTTTTATACACCCTCCAGAGAACGGAAGTCTCGTATCTACTTTATCATCACAGTTCAAATCCTGAGGATATAAGGAATATCCTTCTTGTCCCTTCTCAAGTGTGACAAGCAATTGTGTCACCCTTAGGCCCTGGCTAACGGAGCCACGGTCTCAAGCCTCATGACTTCAGGGTTCCTGCTCAGTCCCTCCCTCAGCCACTCCCTTCCCTACAGGGCAGAGTCAGTGAGGTCAAGGGGCTATGCCCATCCAGAGCCTGTGCCCCATCAAGGCCACATCCTGGGAATTAGGACCCATGAATGTGCTGCCCAAATAGCCAATAGTGAATTCCAGGGCCAGCATGGGTCACTTCCCAGGTTCATTCATCTCTCTGAGAACAGACTGTCATGAGCATGCACATCCCTGGTTGCAAGGAGCAATCAGAGGGCAGCTAATCGGGGTTGTGCAAGTTCCCTTGTGGTGATGGGAGAATCCTGGCATGGGAAGAGAACGGGTGTTTGACCTTTGCCTGAGATCAGAAGCCAGAAACTTCTGTCTACCGCCAGGTTATGGTGCAGAACCCTGAGGAGTCCAATAATTTTAAATCTAAATCTGACCTTCCAAGCCAACATTGAGGGATATTAGTCAAGTTTGGGTGACAGGATATGTTTTATAACCTTTAACATCTAGACATTAGAGTTCATGGACCTCCATTTGTTCTCTTGCCCTGGGCTTCACCAATGTTCGGGACAAGCCTGCCAAGCATATTCCTCTCTGTAGGCTTTCACACTTGCTTTTTTTAATGCCTAGGACATCCTTCCCCAGATGTCTGCTTGGCTTCCTCCCTCATTTCCTTCATGTTCCCCCGCCCATCTCCCCTCTTCACTTCTCTAATCATCATGTTTAAAATAGCTCCTCAGACCTCCTGCCTCTATGCCCTTTCTCTAATTTATTTTTATTACAATTTGATATTTTATTTGTTAAGGTTCTGACTCCTCCATTAGAGTATAAATTCCAAACCATCAAAATTGTTTCTGCCTTATTCCATACTGTATTCCTTAATGTAGTGCCGGGCACATAGGGAGGGCTTTGCAAGGTATTTGTCAAATTAATGCATAAATGAATTAATGACTGGATTTCAATTCCCATACCTTGTTCTCTGCTCTGGTTCAAATTATTTACATTAAGCCACGACAAAACAAAAGTAAAAATTTTAATAGGCCAGCTCATTTGCATTTCAGATTTATTTCAGTTTTAATAAGCCATCTGAATACAACCTTCCAATCTTCCAATTTTCTTGCTCTATTTTTACCATTACGTCTGTTATTACAAAGTCCTCTGGCCCCTTACCATCTTTTGCTTGTCTTCATCTATCATCCTTCCCCTATCTTCATCTCTTTTCCCTTTTCTATCTAGAACTCAAACATTCATTTCAACCATTTATTTGCCAATAGCCTCAAGTTCCTTACCCTTTCACCTGACCAACCCTAACTCTGGAGAAATGAAGGAACTTTCCCATTTTCTACACGTTAGCTGCATCAAAGTATGATAAATTAACAGAGGTGGCAAAATGATCTAAAAATATAGTCATTTATTTCCTGGCCAAAACCCTTGCCTACCAGCTATTACACATTCTTTACATGGCTAAAATTAAATAAGCAAGTCTTCCATGGCATTTAATTAGTGATTTGGCAGAAAGCAAATGCTGCTCTACTTTCATTCGCAAATTTTAGTTTAGTTTAATTACATTCCGTACCCTTTTCCAACCCAAGATGGTTGGGTTCAAATCTCTGCCTAAGAAAATCTAAGGTAAATGTTACATCATTTCTGAAAAGCTTGAAACACACAATCAACACATGTTCCCTCTTTTTCCCCCCCAGTTAGTGTGACATAACTTCCTTAGTACTATTTCACAATCTCTTTGTAGAAATTCCAGATCTCTTTTCAAAAGAGAGTTAACAATAAAGAGCAGAATACAATATTGTATATCTACTGTGATTGCCACTATGTTTAAAGAGATAAATGTGTTTGGGCAAAGAATAGAAACGATACTAGTATCGGGAATTTTCTTTCTTTTCTCTGAACACTCGGAGATTTTATAAAATTGTTTTTACAGTCAAAAGTGAGGAGTAGGTAGGGAAGAGGGAAAGAAAGACAATTTTACTGCAGAGAGAATATGATATCATTGCAATATTCAAATTTATTTTGAATTTCAAATCATCATTTGGTTCTATTAATACCTAGAAATGGCTATTTCTCTGACCTTTAAAAACTGTCGTAAGTAAATCAAAGGAGTCACAGCAGAACAATTATAACCCTCTGCTTTTAATGTCACATGCATCTTACTTATTACAAATGCCTTACCAGCCTTTTTTAATCCCAGAATTCAGAGAATTTGAGCTATTTTGCATGATCCCAGAGTCTGGATCAAGTTGCAAGAAAAAAAAATCAATATAAACCCTCAGGAAAAGACAACTATATTTTAAAGAATATAAATAATAAATGTATTGCTAAAATTACCTCATAATATATACATACTGTTTTTCCAAGGACCAAAAACAAAAACAAAAAACAAACAAACAAACAAAAAAAACAGAAGCCCAGAGCCCAGAGACTCTATTCTTACAGGAGGAAAAATGTCTTTAAAACTGGAGTAAATCTCTAAATTTAGAAAAATGAAGAAGGGCCCTACCATTCCCTTTAAGTCCTGGTTCACAAAAAAACAACAACTTAGTGTTTCAGTAAACAAATGAGGTGAATAATCCATTTATGATAGCACTAATCCCATGCGCTTACTTTCTAATCAAGACAAAAGTAAACCCTAGACATAATCTTGCCAGTGGCTTCTCCATACATAACATTGTAAATCAATAATTGTGTTCATTTTCTTAGGAATACCTTAATTATCCCACATTCTTGCATAGAAATGTGAGTAAAAACAAACAAAATTAAATAGAGAATATTCTAGCATTCCAGTAGATTCACTTTGGATACTTTGGATATACCTTTTTTTTAGCAATTCTAGTATTGTCATTTAAATGTTTTCAAATATACCTGCTTGTTTATCTTAAGTAATCCTTTTTGGGGATGGGAAGACTAAATTGGTACAGCTCATTATTACTGTGCTTTTTTCCCCACTGTGCTTTTTAATAAAGAATGATGGTAAACTATAAAGATTTTAGTTAAATAATCAATAGGCATATGCCTCTGCTAGCATTCAATTTGCTCCAAGAGCAAATTGTTTCTTGTTTCATTTATTTATTTTATTTGCTACCAAAATTTGTTTACAGGAATAATAAAAGAAGATTGAAATAAAAA